AGAGTGTGCACACATCCTCTTGACAGATGCTAGATACAGGAGGGCTAGTTAACCCAGTCTTTCTGAGTTTAGGTTGTAATCAGGCTCCTCAAGCCCCCTAGGAAGAGCTTAATTGCAAACCAAATTGGAGTCTAGACTGCTGAGATGGTTGTTGGCCCTTTGTACTTCTTAGTGGCTTATAATTTTGAAGCTATGAAAATGCCTACAAAATCATGCAACCTGAGCAAGGGAAGCAGTTAGTTTTCCTCTTGCACTAAGGAACTTAAAGAAAATAAAATACCAGAGCTTTCTGAGCACTATTCAGTACCAAAGTTTTTTTTTCAAGCCTCATAGCTACCATAAACTATGGAACCACTGTAAACTTATTTTATACCAGACACTTACTACTTTCTTGAATGGGTAAGTGGCTGAAGTGAAGATGAGAATAAACATCCTCATGGAGCACTAAACATGCAGAAAGGAGATCTGAAAAGGGCTGGAAGGAACTTTAGACTCTTGCTGTCACAAATAACTGTATTATACCATTTGGTCATTCATTATGTCCTACTGCATGATGAAGTCAGATTCTGCTTACTCCTGGTAAAAGGTAATTCCAGAATCTGTTCTGACTTGCAGTCTAAGTTTATTACTTTTTTTGGTGACTCTTTTTGCAAGGCCTGACACAAACCCAGAAACTCCCCAGACTCTAGAAAAGATTTTGAGCCACTTCATCGCTGTTAACTTAACAGAGCAGCAGGAACCAAGATATCTAGAAAGGGCCTGGAAAAGTCACAAATTTGATTCTCTTGTGCAACCAGCAGACATCAACTTATTGACACTGTGAAAAGAAGCTGCAATAGCAATTAATAAAAAGGAAGGTGAAAGGAGAAACAAATGGGGAAGAAGGAAAATAAGGAACTCTAATTTTGTTCAAAAAAAGGTTAGCTTTAGTTTTAGCAAGAAAAAGGTTAGCTTCCCCATACATGAATTAGTGTTTCAAACTTGTAATTGAGGAGTATACAATCGCACAACACAAGCTGAGTGCAACTCTTCAGCTGAAAATGAAAAAAATTCCCTCCTAATGTAGATACTACAACTGCCGAGTATGTGGAAGAGGAGGCTGAAGAGGAAAAGAAAATGTAAGATGCAAATTATAAGTATCCAGACAACATCTCTGGGCTGGCCGCACAACTAAATTATTTTAGAATAGGCTAGAATAGACTATTTCAGTTGGAAGGGACCTACAACGACCATCTAGTCCAACTGCCTGACCACTTCAGGGCTGACCAAAAGTTAAAGCATGCTGTTAAGGGCATTGTCCAAATGCCTCTTAAACACTGACAGGCTTGGGGCATCAACCACCTCTCTGGGAAGCCTGTCTCAGTGTTTGACCACCCTCTCGGTAAAGAAATGCTTCCTGATGTCCGCTTTAAACCTCTCCTGGCACAGCTTTGAACCATTCCCACGTGTCCTGTCGCTGGATCCCAGGGAGAAGAGCTCAGCACCTCCCTCTCCACTTCCCCTCCTCAGGAAGCTGTAGAGAGCAGTGAGGTCGCCCCTCAGCCTCCTCTTCTCCAAACTAGACAAGCCCAAAGTCCTTGGCCGCTCCTCATAGCACGTTCCTTCCAGCCCTTTCACCAGCTTTGTTGCTCTCCTCTGGACACATTCAAGGACCTTCATTTTGCTGGTCAAATGTTTCTTCACAAGAGCAGAGGGAGCTCACAGCAAGAACAACTTGGGTATTTTTGGCTGGAAGGGATTTCTGCTCTTGATCATTACTTAACCTATGGCTACAATGACCTAAAAGAAAACTCTGAGCTTAACCCATAGTTATAGTTAGGCCTCCTTACAGTACTGTGGTGGTGATGGATATTTTGTGTCCATGTTTTATTTCTTTTTGTGTCTACACTGATGAGAGAACAGTTTAATTTCCAGACAATTAAGCCTTTCTATAAACCCTTCTTTCCTGAAGTATACATCCAATAATTCAACTCCAAATTCTTCTACTTGGAAGTAGCTATCATTCATATTGCAAAGTCTGACTTCAGATCTTCCTCTTCAAAATTTTAAAATAGATTTGAATCAAAATCAGTAATATCTCGTTACTCAAACTTTATGTACATTTTAACATATGTAAATCAGATCAGCTAAAAACCTAAGGTAAACATTTTAAAGTCACAAGAGTGTACACGTGTATATTTCTAAAGGTATGCAAGATGACACCGTAATGCCTGAAGATGGTTACTTTTTCACAGAATCACAGAATGATTGAGGTTCAAGGGTAACTCTGGTGGTCATCACGTCCAGCTCCCCCTGCTCAAGCTAGGCCACCTAGGAGGTTGCCCAGGACCACGTCCAGATGTCTTTTGAATATCTCCAAGGATGGAGACTCTACAACCTTCCTGGGCAACCTGTGCCAGCGCTAGGTCACCCTTACAGTAAAAAAGTTTTTCCTTACATTCAGATGGAACCTCCAGTGTTTCTACAAAACTGTATTCTTCTAGAGAACTATACAATTACAAACATTTAAATTGAACTGTCACATGACAAATTGCTGGTTATCAGCTGCCAGCTGCAAATTCCATAATTTTATATATCCACATACCTCTTCAAGCTCTCCTGAAGAAACAGGATTATCCTCGTACGTGGGGAAATGGCACCCTGCTTTACAACTGCAAAACCTGCTAGTCTCCTCATGTGGCTCCACTATTCTGCAGTTTACTTTAGAGCTCTCCATCGCCCTCCCATCTAGAGATTCTTTCATACTGCATTCTAAACAGGGATCTTGGTTTCCTACTGGCAACATCCCAGCCGACTCTTCTTGGGAATCCAATGATGTTTGTGCACTCTTCTCCATTCCAGACTTTTTTAATCTGGGAAGGAATTTTCCAGATTCAAGCTCTGATTTTCCATAATAATGCCCTTCTTTTTCTGCATCTTCTTCCAGAGGTTTGAGATCTGCTTGTGGATCCTCAAATACATCTACTTGAGAAGGGACAGCAATACCTCCCTCATCTTTTTCTGACTCAAATTCTGACTCACTTCCACCACCTGGAGAAAGTTCAGATGCAGAAATCGGGCGAAAGTGAGTCCTTGGAGAAATCCGTATAGCCCTGTACTGCGTTCGATCAACACCACATATCCTGGGGTGTAAAACCTCACTGTCTGAATCAGAGCACAGAATTGACTTAGGTTTAAAACTAGGGCTGAAAGATGCAATTCCTTCTGGCTCAAACGAACACTCTACATGAAGAACTTGTGAAAATGGATTGTTCAGGTCAAAGGAAGAGAATGAGTATTCAAGCCCTGGTTCTTCAACTTGAAAGTTACCACAAGCTCCCAGTAAGTCTTCATGGAAGATAAAAGAAAAACCCTTATTTAATCCATTATCTCCATTCTTTGATTGCTCATTCTGTTCAAATGATACAAACGGCCTCCATAATTGCCTATGACCAGGGGCAAAGCTATTACCTGGAGTCATAAAGACATCTGTACCAGCTATTGTCACTACATCAGAAGCTGCACATTGTAATAAGCTCCCTTTTGAGTGACTAGGTGGCACCACTGCCCATTCTCCATCACTGTTAAATGTTTTGAGCTCCCCATACACACCACCAAGTATAAATGAGTTTTCTTTATCCTGGTTAACATCCCAAGGTTTTGATGGTGTAGTATAGTCACCACCATCTACTTTTGATAAATCATTTGAGACAAAGGCTCTCTTCTCTAAATTCTCCTTTTGACCTTCCCAAAGATGATATTCTGATCTCTGCACTGCTTTATTGGGCTCCTGGAGGGTTTCAACTTTTGCTTCTGTATCCAAACAGCAGCAATAGTTATTTACATCAGTTGAAAACAATTCATCTTCTATTCCTTCTATTTCTACCATTGCTGCAGAATTTCTGTCTGTCATATTTGTCCAAATATCTTTAATAACCCCTGAGCTGTAGCCATCTCCATGTGGACTGCTTTCACTACACCCTTGTGTAGTTTCATAGTCTTTACTTTCTGCTTTTTGTTCTAGCTGAATACCACAGACAGATTCTAGCTTAGATTTTTTTTTGAAAATCAAAGTGGGCATTTCTCCTAAAGTTCTAGCTTGTTGCTGGCAGGTTTCTTCTGGCAAAAAATCTAGAATTTCTTCATCTACATAACTCGAAGACACTCTAGGAACTACATAATTAATATCTTCTGCATTAAATTGCGTGGATTCTTCATATGGAATATTTAAAGTCTCATTGTCTGAACGTGTTTCTTCTGAGTGTGACCATGGACTACAGGTTCTTGTTGAAAGATTGGAACAGTGTTCATTTTCATCAAAGGCACTATTTTTGGTCCATATTAGCAATCTAGACTGTGTTTTCCCAAGAATATTAGCAGTGCTACTAGAATCTGCATTTTCATTTCCCAAGTTGAGTGTTTCAAAAGAAAATGGTAAAACAGAGTTACTGCATTGCACTTCAAACACTGAAAAACAAGAGTTTATACCAGACCCTTCATTAATATCTGAAAAGAGCTCTTGATTGCCAGCAAGCATGTGTGAATTAAGCATTGTGCTGTCTAAGATGGGGGAGAATCTGATTGGAGAATCTCCTCCAAAACTTTCCCCATCTGCATCACCAGAACTAGAAGATGAACAGCACTCCCAAAATTGAGCTAAATTACTAAGGTCTTGCAAGAACCACCCTTCAGCACCAACAGAGCTGGTCGAATCTGTCCATATTGCACTTTCCCCTTGCAACTCCATTCCATCTAACACTATGCAACATTCTGCCTCAAAATCAGTTTTTTCTTTACTCTTTTGTCGAATCATATTTAAAATCCGACTCTCCCCTTGCATCGTATCTGAGGCACCAGGATCCAACATGGATTGATCAATATCCACTTCATAGAAGTGTGTTAGTTCTGACAGATGAACATCATCTAAATATTTGTCGTCCTCCGGTTGAGAACATATTGAGGTCCCAGCGAGGTCAATATCCTCATTTAGAACTGCAGGCATTTCTACAAAGTGACCATCGATGAAAGTACCTGCTGCGAGGTATGTTTTATGAATATTATTGTTGCTAATACAAAGACCGTGCACTGATTCAGACAACTCTTCTACAGCCTCTGATGTTACGCCACATACATCTTCTCTGTTGCGGTATGTAGTCTCCAGCTTGCTTTTTCTGCTAAGAGGAACAAAGTACTCTGTAATCGGCTCAGTATACCACAAGGGTTCTTCTTTATATTCCTTTTCATTTCTGCTGTCTAAATACAAATCTTTTCCATCGCTACCGCCAGCTTCTTTTCTTCCAATTTCTTTTAATGGCCTTTTACCTCTTTTGCACAGCTGTTTGATGGACCCGCTGCTACTGCTGCTACTGCTTCCGCTGTGGACTTTTCTATCAGCCTTTTCACCAGATTTCACTGAAAGCCTGCTTTGCCCATTGCGCCCTTTTTTATTTCGAACCTCTCTTGTTTTGTGTCTTACTTTAATACATTTCATTGATGCCTTGTATTCACCTTGATTACCACTAGAACTTGAGCCAGCCTCACTGGATCCAGATGACCAGGAGCGAGGACGCATCTTTCCCTCAGACTTATGTCGGACTTGCTTTTTGTACAAAACAGGCTTCTCTTCAACAGTGTTGTTACTAAACTTGTTTTCTTTCTCATTTTTACTTTTCTTCTGCTGGGTTCTTTCCTGTACAGTGGCAGATACTTTATTACTTCTGTCTTTAGTTACTTCACTTTCGCTATTGCAGTCCTTTGGAGAAGATGTATCCGTGCTAGTTGGTGGAGCAGTGGATGAAGATGAGGAGCTAGAGTAAGAGCATACTTTGGATTTATTCCATACAGTCATAATTTCCTGCAGGCAAACTGGCTTTTCAGAAAGAGGAGGAAATGCTTCATAGTACCTGAAAACAAAACAAAAAGGTGGCATTCAGATCGTAGAACTTCAGACAGGCATTAAGATCAGAAAGTATTACTAAAAACACATCAAAACACTACCAATCTAATTGAAAAAAAAACCTAGTTGTTCTACAGATGCACATGCCACTCATTGCACTGTTTATCTGAATGATAACAAAGGAGAGATTAAGATAAGCTTTAAAAGTGCTTATATTGATGTATGTTTAAAAATATACTGCCAAGTAAAACAATCCCATTTTTAGGGAGTACTAAACTTCACTGTAGACAGAAATTGTGGATGCTTAAAACAGTGAAGGCCTGACTCCAGATTTATTAGATAATGTAGCAATTTACTAGAGTCATCTTAAACATGTTTGATTTAGAGTATAAATGCAGAAGTCCTGAATTTCAGTAAGTTCAGTCCTGAATTTCAGTTTTTTAAATTCTCCTTTCTGAAACGAGACACTATCTGTTAAGTTCTACATAGTTTGACTGTCCAGTTATTAAGAAAAAGGTATTGCAAAAAAAGATTAGTTCTTGAGTAGTTTAAGATGCTTAACAGCTTTGTGCAACAGGGACAAAATTAAAATACGTTTTTCTGCAACGTTTAAAGTAGTATGTGTTTGACAGTAAAGAGGTTTATACCAAATTGCATGTATTTCAATGAAAAACTATTAGAAGACATTCAGAAGTCAGTTAAGTTAAATGTACATTAGCACAATGGGTTCCCTGAAGAAGTAGCATCCATTTAGCAACAACTCTACTAGACTGTTGCTACCAATGGTTATTATTAAGAGATACAGAATCAGTCGTATCTCCAAGAGAAGTCAATGATAAAACTCCTGGGTACTTCAGTAAACACTGGACTCAGGTATGTGGTAACTAGCAGACCACTTTGGTTATAAAGAGTTTAAAGGTTATAAAAGAGCTTCAGTTTACCATTTCTGCAACAGAAGACAGAGTTCTGGACAAGATCGGACAAGGGGTAACGGTTTTAAACTAAAAGAGGGTGTATTTACACTGGATATAAGGAAGAAATTTTTTACACTGAGGGTGGTGAAACACTGGCACAGGTTGCCCAGAGAGGTGGTGGATGCCCCATCCCTGGAAACATTCCAGGTCAGGTTGGACGGGGCTCTGAGCAACCTGATCTAGTTGAAGATGTCCCTGCCCATGGCAGGGGGGTTGGACTAGATAACCTTTAGAGGTCCCTTCCAACCCAAACCATTCTATGATTCTATGAACCCAGGAAGCTGATTCTCTCCCTGCAAGTCTAACGTGTCAATTAATACTGTTTTAAAGGCTTTTAATTTGTCTAGTTGACTTGGTCTTAAGGAAACTAAAATACAGTATGGTTTGAGTTCTGCATATAGTCAAAAGAAAGCAGCCAGGATTTTGCCAGAAATTAAACTAGCCCACGGTACACCAAATGCTCATATTTAAATACATAAGATTAACAAAAGAAGATGGCAGGAAAAAAATGCATTTCTTAATATCCACAAAACTCCAGATTCCCCACTAAGTTAACTTCACGGTGTTAAAATATGGGAGTAAAAGGAGAAAAGAGAAAAGCATCTCAGATAATAATAATAAAAAATGCATACATTTCTACTTGATCCTTTGCTGTGGGAGATAAATCAGTCTCAGGAGACAAAGAGCCTTCTAACTTTTTGTGAATCTTCTCCTCTGTTTTGGAAGAAAATTCCAAATGCTTAATAGAAAAATTAAAAATGCCAGTGTATTTTATAACAATATTTAACAAAAGCATCAGGATGTATACCTGTAATAGTAGTAAATTTCCATAAAACACTGTAAATAACAGAACAATTTATAGACTGGTTATTATACATAAAGAAATTACAAGTTACCACTCAAGATTCAAGTTTTCCACGGTTGTCTCGTTAAGCCCTGCAATTTTCACCAAACATGACTGGCTAGCAGCTGCATGCAACTTCATGGTTAGCAATGCCCCCACTAGGAGACTTCCTAGGAGACTTCCCACTAGGAGACTAGGAGATTTTTAGTTATTTTATATCCAAATCCTTATCTCCTTGCATTGCTACATATAAAAAAAGATTTTTTAAAAAAATCAACTATTTAACTGAATATTTTTATGAATGGTTGCATCTAACTTCTCAGTATTTCACTAAAACAAAGTACCCCTGCAGTAGTTGCTGTGCTTTGGGTGGATGTAAAGGCAAATTTCCTGTGTGAGAGGTGACTCTAAAGATTTCTGGTTCTTTATATTAAAATCTGTAAAATAGCAAAAAAATGCTGTGAGATACCCTGATTTTACTTTTTTTCCAAAATAAATGGTCAACATCATCTTGGCTCAGTAAGAAAGCATCACAGCATAGCACTATGAAATACTAAGAGCTGACTAGTAATCACTGTTTAAAAACAGAAAAGGGGAATGGAAACAGCTAAAATCATGCTTTAAGCAGGTAAATACTTATCCCTTATTTATTGCTATTTATGCTACATGATAAGCATATTAATTTTACCCTAAGTGTCGAAGGCTGCTGCTATGTGCCTGAAGAAACATTTATGCGCGATGAACTTTCATTGGCGATACCACAATTTTATATTATGCTCCCTGCCCTAAGCCTGACAACATAAAGTCCCCGTTATCATTTCCCTAAAGCCCAGAAATTTTAAGCACACCTCTCTGTGATGGCTACTTGGATGCTTTTCAGAGGAATAGCTAGTATATAACAATTTTGAGGCCAATCTACTCTTTGCAAGTATCAGTACACAAAATTAACAGAATCAAGCCGACTTTCTTTTGATTTCTTTTGGTGGGGAAGGGGATGCCGAATATGGAATATTTACTAAAAAAGCAGGTATAGCTGGATTTGAACAGTTATAGCTTTTCATGAGGAAAACTCCATTTGTGAATGGCTATTTCCTAGGTAAACAAAGCATACTAGTACAGAATTGCTTAAACTATTTGAATGAAATTATTCAAATGTATTTTAAAATTGCATGGCCTGTATTAAAAGCTACTGAATTAACAGCCTGCTCCCCCCTCCCACGTCTCAGAATGTTACACAGTTGATAAATACAATATATGGCCTCAGAAGTTTAAAGATTTATTCCTCACCTTGCTTACTCTGAAGGTCTTTCAGTCTGGAGCAAAGCTCCTCCACTAACGTTTCAATCCCAGAGCTCTGCACAACAACAAAACCACGGGGGGGGGGAAGAAAGAAAAAAAAAAAAGAAAAACATAACTTACTAAAAAAAAATATTAATTGTATAGGAAGACATCAATACAGTAAACATATCTTAGCAGACATATTTTTCTTTTTGCATGGTAACTACGCATTAAAAAGCAACAAAAATTATTACTAGGTATAAATCCATTCCTATAAATACATTAATTAGAGGTCAAAATGATTCCAGGAAACACATAGATACATTCACACAGAGGTTTCAAACTACAAGTCACGCATTATTGTATATCCAAGGTTTTGCAAACTCTGCACTGTCACATTTACAGCACTATATCACTTAGGATTTAGCTGAGAGTCTCAGGATAAAAGTTCAAGAATCAACTGATCACTAAGATGCATTTTAAAAAGCTATGCCTGACACTTTTGGTTGCACAATTTATAGCTGTGAGAAAGGGACTGTTAAAAGGATACAGAAAATCAGGAGTGAAGGTGAAAAGGAGAACAGTATGAAGACATATACGTATAGATGGCAGTGAGGGAGAAGAAATGCTTCCACAGTATCTTCATGCAAAACTTAACCCATAGTTTTGCCAGTTTACAATGCCTAGTTTTTTTCTTTATAAACATTGTGTTGTTTCCTCAGGAGAGCAGAGGGAAAAATAAACATCTTCCCTGTAAGCCTCTATTTTCCTCCTATATTCCTCCACATAAAACTTCCATACACTCAAGCTCCCTTTTAAATCCTATCTCAGTGTTAGTCTCACGTGCTTCTGCTTTTACTATCTGCCTAGACTTGCAAGCAGTTCTAGATGAAGCAACAGCACCAGAACAGCAAAATACTGAAAAATAAACACACACACACACAAAACGGTACAATATACTACCAACTGGCCCACAGGAGAAAACCCTGTGCTATTCTAATGGAATAACAGTTGAATTCCAGTCAGCGAAATACTAAATACCAACCTACAGCCTGAAATGACCATTCCTGTTGGAAGGAAAACTAGGTGAGGTGGGTACCATGTAGATATTCGTGTTCTTTGTATTTCGATGCTCAGGGATCATGCTTGGAGATTACACTTTGCACTTTCCATAACTGCAAACAGAAGGCTGGAATCACAGCTAAAGGCAGCAATCCCAAACAAGTGAGGAGGATGCAAGAATTCCCCTGCACGTTGCCATACAGCTGGGAAGGGTAATGAGGCAGAACTGTGCAGCTTCTTGTATCCTGTGCAGAGTTTCCTCAGTAACAACTCCAGCATCTTGTCCCCATCATACTTGGAGATTCTGAGACGTATACAAACCTCCTCCAAAATTATCTCATCTTCTGAATTTGACATGATCTTGTGTGCATATAGTCATGAAATATGCATTCTCTCCAAAGGTAACGGCAGATCAAATATCAAGTTACAGAAAAGCAGAAAGAAGAGTTTGATTTGCTGTGTCACCACGGTGCTATAAAGATTTCATTTTTCCAAGATCTAAGAGTTTCTCCTCTCTCCTGATTACGGGCTAGAAATGGCTGAGAAATGTGAATACACGTTGCTAAATCACAAGAAAATATTACACAAAAGGGAATACTAATTTATACAGTGAAACTAGCTTATTTCTGTCAGAAACACACACTTGAAAAATCATATACTGAAGCAATGACTTTTATGCTAACTTCTAAATTTTAATTATTTGCAGTCAAGTGAGAAAGCAATTTTCGATTCCTAACTGCATTGCTGCACTGAAGTGCTAAATATAAACCTTTATGCCACATACTTAACTGAGGATGACTTAGCAATATTAAACTTTAGAAGGTATCTTCTATATCAGTATATTTACCAACACAAATTAAATTGTTTAGAAAGAACCAAGCAGCACAGTATTATGGACAAACCTATGTAGTTATAATAATCGTCACTTTATGCCTACACGATTCCTGACTCCCCCTCCTCCCCCCAAAAGGGCAACAGAGGAGGAGCTGGCCTTGTTTTTGCTTAGCTCTCCGAACTGTCTGATCAAACGGACACCTGTAGCAAAGACTCAAAATTTAAGGAATATAGATTCACTTCCTTAACTTAATTATAACGTCATGTCCAAAAAAATCCCCCAAACCGGCAACAATATGCTCACCATTACACCGAAGAAGTGAAAACTTTTGGAATCAAACGCTTCATTTCCTCCTGTACCATGAAACTAATACTTGAGTCAGCTGACACACTGCATGCTGTCCTGCATAGCACGCTGATGCAGCTAGCGCTAGCTTTAAAAAAAAAAAAAAAGGGGGGGGGGGGGGGGGGAAAGCCACTGTGCAGGATGCCAAGTCTCTAGAGACCACTTGCTCAACCTCTTACTGCAGTATATAAAAACAAGCTGCAGACTTAATGTAATGAATGCCTCAGCAATTATTTCGTATATGACAGTGTTGTTCTCTGAATGCAAGATTTAGTTACTGTATTTTTTCATTGTTTAAGTTAATGCATTGTAGTTGCAGCAACCCCATTGCCAGAAAGTAAGATATTCCAGGCACTGGCTTGGTTCAATAGGACACAATCAGTTAACGAAATTAGGTGATCTGCCTGAACTGCTTTGCTTATGTTCAAATTTAAAGACAGTCCCCCCCAAACAGTACAAATACTGGAGCACCTTAAAAACATTTTTCAACGTGGAAGTGCCTAATTACGATTGCTTTTGTAATTCCAACACAAAAGGCTTAAATCTCATGATTATCTGTAAGATTATTTAAACTACTGACCCAGATTTCTACTAACCCTTTTCTCTCATTCAAACTACAAAGGGCAGCACATCATTTTTTTAATTCATATTTTTCATTTTACATAACAAAACTTCTTCCACAACAAAAACACATTTCATTCTGTTCTACTGCTTCCAACACATTTCTATTTTCTTCCCCTGCTTTAACTTAAATCCAGTTCCATCAAAAGTCATTCTTTTTGGCTTTTCATCAGCTGGCTGAAGCAAGGGAAGGATTACATAAAGGATAGGTGTTATGTTACTGGCATAGAAGTGACCGTGCTAACAGATAAATTAAGCTTCTGAACTCAGCCAGCATGAACAAGAACAGTCAATCTGACTGCTGGAGTTACAGGACTCTAATAGCCAGCGTCTTGCTTACTGACCAACATGACTCTATTCAGAGCCAAATTAATGTAGTTCTGCATAATGTGGAATGAGAGCAATTAAAAATGAAACAGCAAAGCTCACACACATTTTTTATATATATATATATTAAAATGTTGTGGTGTTTTGTTTTGTTTTTACATACGTGTGTATATATATGCGCGTGTGTGTAGTGTCAAAGATCTTTGAATCAAAGATCTTTTTAACATGCTCTACTTTGGAAGTAGAGCAGTCAGAAATGACAAGTAGTAACTCATTAGCTTAAAGCAACCCAATTGCTTTTGTACATACATTCACACCTCTGCATAGCTGCAGAAAATGTTCCCAGAAGATATCAAATCTATACATTTAGTTACTTCTGAAATATTTTTATAAATTTAAAATAATCAGTTTAGTTAATTGTGAACCATGTACAATACTAGGTACACCAAATTCAGATCCACTAAAAACTGTTGCCTATGTTAACAGTGGGCACTGGCTTCTATGTTCTGAGAGTTTTTAGTAAGAAGCTGTGAAACATGAGCTCCTCTCAGACGCTTGACCAATCACTTTAATTCTTGTTGCCATCCATCTCTGCTAGTAGGTTACTTCTGAATGTTGCAAACAAGCACTGCGCAGTCACCATCCAGGAGATTAAGTTTTTCCTGAATTGGATCACAAATGTTCATGCACCACTACTATTTCACATAGTTATTCTAGGGAACTAAGGATTCCCTAGAATATTCCAGCGAAATTTTTTGTTTTCACTGATCTTTCACCCCTTCCTGTCACCCAGAAATGATGTCTAGTTATGGCTCTCATACTTCCATCCAAAAAAATGCCATGCAAATGTATATTTTGTCCTCAGATCTGCACATCTGCAATAGCCAAAAATTCTGGACAAAAAAAGGAGAACAAAGTTGTGATAGCCAGTATTTAGAATGAGCTTTCCACATCTGACATACCATAAGTACATACACAGAAACTAAAAAATTCCATCAGATTATACAACTCAAAGGGAAGGGTTGGTTTTGGGGGGTTTTGTTTTGTGGGTGTTTCTTTTTTTTGCTTCTAGCCTAAGGTAAGTTAATAGCTTTCCTCCAGGAGGTTTGAACTGTGTACTGTGAATATTTCCTAAATATGGCTTGTTACTTCAGGCCTGTAAGGTAATGAGGAAAGTTCCTTGTTCCTCTTAAGGCTTTTTGAAAAGACAAAAGCATTACACTTCATTTTACTTTAACAACTAAAATAGTCACTCATTTGCTTTTAGGTTTTTGAGAGCTTTCTAGCTTATACTTTTAAAACAAATCCTCATTTCACTTTCCAAGATGCACAGAATTGTTTAGGTTGGAAAGAACCTCTAGAGATCACCCAGTCCAAACCCCTGCCAAAGCAGGATCAGCTAGAGCAGAATACAGATGCTCCTTTCACAGATACAAGTTCAAACAATCGAGAAATTAAAGTAAATCAATATATTCATAGTTTCAAGTCATTCTTTTAACAGGTCATAGGACTCTCCAGCCAGCGATGAAGCTCTGACTGTAGTGTACCAGGACTGTTTTCTTGGCATGTAGCCTGTCACCAAGAGCAGGATTAGGTAGCTGTTCTATATGAATCAGCTGTTAAGCCACGTGAACTGAATAAGGCACAAAATATGATTCACTGCAACCACACATCTATTTCTATATTTTGTAGGATGATGAGAGCTAGATAAAAGTCTAGGTTTTCATTTTCTAACATTCTGATACAGTATAATTCATCTGGTTACAAGTACTCTCAAAAGAGGTGCTCAAGAGATAGAAAGACCAAAAAAAGGACTAAAAAAAAAAAAACTCCCTAACCCCAAGATCATCACTAAATAAATAAATGAATGAATAAATAAATAAATC